ACTATATATATATATATATATCCTTACTCTATATATATTGCAGCGAGATGTAGTGCAACACATCGCAACGTGCCCGAAAGACCAGCAGAAAATGTATCTGGATCGCCGTGTATTTCTAAAGAAGGAGCTCCTTCACGTGCAGAATCGGTGCCTCGAGCTGGGCTTACCCCTCACGAGGATCCGGCGCAGCAGTTCCGCCGCCTTGGACGACGTCCGCCCGTCTGCGTTTGACGGCACCGACGAGACCCCGCCATCCGGAAACACTCCCCTCCATTATCCGGAGAGCCTCACGCCCAACGCGGACGGACATGTGACGCCGGAACACAGCGGGGGGGAGGAAGGTGCTAGTATTACTACTAGTATTACTACTACCCAGCCACCGCAATATGTCGAGGGGTATGTTAGTGGGATTTCGGTGCAATTGCCCAGTTCAAAGGCGACGACGGGGCCGCTGCCTCGAGCTGAATTCACGACCCAATTGACGTCGGCGTTGTCGGCTTTGTCCAGAACCCAGCAGAAGCCAATCACAGAGCTGCACAAGCCCCAACAGCCAATCACAGAGCTCAAGAAGCAGCCCCAGCAGCCAATCAAAGAGCTGCACAAGCCCCAACAGCCAATCAAAGAGTTCAAGAAGCAGTCCCAGCACCCAATCACAGAGTTCAAGAAGCAGTCCCAGCACCCAATCACAGAGTTCAAGAAGCAGTCCCAGCACCCAATCACAGAACTGCACAAGCAGCCCGAGCAGCCAATCACAGAACTGCACAAGCAGCCCCAGCAGCCAATCACAGAGCTGCAGAAGCAGCCCGAGCAGCCAATCACAGAACTGCACAAGCCCCAGCAGCCAATCACAGAACTGCACAAGCCCCAGCGGCCCATCATAGAGCTGCACAAGCCCCAGTGGCCAATCACACAGTTCAAGAAGCCCAAGCAGCCAATCTCAGACCTGCAAAAGCCCAAGCAGCCAATCACAGAACTGCAAAAGCCCGAGCAGCCAATCACAGAACTGCAAAAGCCCGAGCAGCCAATCACAGAGCGCAAGACGCCCCAGGAGCCAATCATAGAGCTACAGCAGCAGCCAATCCCAGTCGAAGACGAGGAATCGTCTCGGCCGTCGTCCGTGTACAGCTTGAACGACTCGGAAGTGGGTGACACGATCAGCGTTTGCTCGGAAGACGAAGCATGCCCGCCGCCAAACAAGGTGGACGCGCTCAAGGCGGATTTGGTACGTACGGGGGTTCCGGGATTTCGGGGTTTCTAATTGGCTATTATGTGTTCGTAGCGCCAAGTGGTGGCGCAGATCGCCCAAGCCGCAAAAGACAAACACTCGTCCGTGGCCACCAAACTCATGAAGGCGCGCAACCAGATCAAGTCGGAACTGGCCCTCGCCCAAGACGAGATGCAATTGGACGCTATCAAGCACGAACTGGTACGTGGATTTATATGAAAACCCCGAAACCCCGCCATATATACATAGACTCAGTTCGAGTGTAGCGCGAAGTGGTAGCCCGGATAACCGAGGCGACGAACCACGGCGATCAGGCGGGCGTGGACCACTGGATGCAGCGGCGGGCTGCGCTCAAGCTCCAATTGAAAGCTGTCCACGAATCCCTCGACAAAACGCAGCGCCAAGCCAAGCCACTCGACGTGCTCAAAACCGAACTGGTACAACCCCGAACCCCCAGAACCCCGAAATCCCTTGACGATTGTGCAATTAGCGTGCGGTGGTGACGAATCTGCAGCGGCCGCACTTGACGGACGACGAGATGGCGCTGTTGATGGCTCAAAAGACCGAGCTCAAGGCCGTGATCATGGCCAAACAACCCCCCCGAAACCCCTCCGACATCGACGGGCTCAAGGCCGAGCTGCGCAAAGTCGTATCCAACATCACTCTGGCGTCGAAAGAGCGCGATGATGCGCTCGTGGATAAGCTCATGCGGCGGCGGGCGGATCTCAAGGCCGCGCTCGCTAAAGCGCAGGACTCCGAGCAGAAGCGGACGTCGGATCATCGGCCGAGTCGGAGTAGCACGGCTGCGTCGACGTCGCTGCATTCCGTGGCAGATCCCGCCGGGTCGTTTGTGAAAAAGTTGCAGGCGGCGGCGTCGTTGGTGGGGAACCCCGAAACCCCGAAACCCCGAACCCCCAAACACCAAAATTCGCTGTCGTTTCTGAGCCACAACCAGCAACCCCAGAACGAGTCGTTTCGAAGCAACTCTGGTGGAGGGGGGGGATCCTTGTCCAGCAATTCGCTGCACGACGACACGTCCGACTCGAGTTCGAGTTCCTTTACCATGTCCGAAGCCAAAGTGGCTCAAAATGCCCTGCATGCGTTCAAGACCGAACTGGTACTGGTTTTTTTACCCTATATTTGGCTGACTTTTGGGCGAATTCTTTGCCAAATAGATTGGATATATCGATTCTTTCGTTTGTAAAGATCGTCACACTAATTTCAGTCACACACGAATTCCGTGTTGATTTGGTCGAAGAGTGAGTTTGATTGGCTACTTACGAGTGCTCTGGGGTTTGATTGGTCGATTTTCTGCCTTCGATTTGGTTAGTCTGGTCCTATTCGATTGGACACCGACACCCAAACACACCGTCTTATATTGTCCTTTGACCCTAAATTTGACTTTTGATTGCCAATATATATCTATTTATCTATATATATATATATCGATGCTTCTTTGTACTGACTTTAGTATGTCAGTGTCACACTAATATAAGTCTCACACTAATTCAAAGTTTTCGATTGGTCAACGAGCGGATAATTTGATTGGCCACTAACTACTACGTTGATTCTTCATGTGTTTTGATTCTTGGTTCATATATCTGCATCTATATATAATATATCATCTATTTTGAATTCTAAATTGTCTATTTTAAATATATATTTATACATGTACTTAGGCCAATATCCAGCATGCGATGGAGAAAACCACCAATGAACGAAAGATGAAGAAATTGCTCGAACAACGTGCAGATATGAAGGCTCGGATCGCGGCCACCGAGGAGCAACTCCGCCCACATGCGGCGTCCGTGCCGCCATTGGACCTGGAATGGGATCTTTCCCAAGTTAAAAAATATACGCAAGGCCTGCAACACGAGCTGGTACTTATATATATATATATATTAATATATATTAATATTCGTTCGCAGCGTGATATTGTGGCGCGAAGTGACGAGAGCGCGACGAGTCCCCAGCTAAAAGCCCGTCGAGCCGAGTTGAAGGCGGCGATTCACACAGCTTTTGACCGCATTGCGCTGCTCCAGGAAGAAGCAACGATCCGAGACATACAAATCCCCATACTAAGTCCGCATATGACCAAGGACGAGCTCACGGCCCACATCGAAATACTCAAGAAAGAGCTGGTAATATGTCGATATATATTTATTTACCTATATAAGAATTTGGACTTTAGTCGTTATCACACTAAATTGAAATCACACACTAAACATGAGATGTTGATCCTGGTTTTTTCCTGAAATCTGATTGGCTCAATCTTTTTCTATATGTATTTGGGTCGATTGAAAATATTTTCACAACCCTATTGTGGCCTTCAGTACACACACAACGATGTATATATATATATATATATATATATATCCCAACTCCAACGTCGAATTCCATACTATTGATATATTCGACAATCCACGATTGATTGAATATTTTTTTTTTTTTCCACCGACGGATTCACACTACTGTTTCAAATCTCTATATTATATCTTCTTTCTCATACTATATATATATATATCCTTTACCTAGCGCCAAGTGGTCACAAGTATCGCGCAGACGACTGCAGCAGGCGCGAAATCCAAGCTAAAGTCTCAGCGAAGTTCGATCAAATATCACTTGGCCATGGCCCAAGATAAGCTGGCCATGGTATCGCAGTCTACTACTTCGCAAGCCGCCGCCGCCACCCCGAAACCCCGAAACCCCAAATCCCCTCAAGACGACGTGAAAATGCTAGAGTCTTATATCGACTCGCTCAAAGCCGACTTGAAGGTCGTGGTGATGCACATCACGCAGACGGCGGACGTCCCGACCGTCCACGCGATGCACCTCCGCCGTCGGAATGACCTCAAGCAGAACCTCCGCACAGCTCAAGACCAGCTTTTAGCTCTAACAGACTCTCGGTCTTCAAGCCACGGATCCTCCAACATGGACTCTGGCCTTGTGCTGGATGCGCTCATGACGTCGCGCATGACGCAAGTGTACCAGAATGTATCGGAGAAATCAGGGTATTTGGAGTGGATGCCCCAGACCCTCAAGCTATTTCGAGGCGGAAAAGTCGTGTGGGTCCGCCTTGAAACCAGCGGCTGCCTCCTCTGGTTCAAGAGCCCCACAGATCAAAAGGTCCGGGGGATGGTGGACCTGGCCGCCACCGCCGCCCGCAGCGTCCAAGTCGCGTACGCCGACACCAACTTGGTCACGATTTCCATCTTGAGCCCGGGAATGCTCTCCAATCATCAAGAGATCATGCACTTTCGCGCCACGTCCGAGCACGAAGCGCGGGGATGGGTGGATGTCCTTGGTGAGACCGTCGAGGTCCTCGCGAGGCAATTTCCCCACCAAAACCAAACCGAACTGTTTGGGCGTAATTCGGTCGTGTATTAAATACTAGTATAACTTAACAACCAGAGACTCGGTGAATGATATATTAAGTACTATTATATGAGTATTATTAATAATAGTATTCATTCTTTCTCTGGGCCAGTTAGCCACCATTTATTATTTGACTTTGCTGTTGGTTGTTTAACGATTTATTTTTTCTTGTCCAAATATAGGATAGTATGCTATATCAGCCTTGAAAGAGTATCATACCCAGCTAGAGGTTTATATCATCTATTTAACGCAAAACGATTAAACCAAGTCGTCTTGATTACGATTAGTACAGTATAGTATACATCCTACAGACAGTACCATACAGTAGCAATGGACTTCGTTTGCACGGCATATCAATAAAAATACGAAATTTATTGTGAATTATTCGCTATAAACTTCCAAAATTCGAGTGGTTTGACTAATCAATATTGAATCTCGCTGCCGTTCTGATTGGTTGAATATACATGTCTCTGTAAGAGCCAATCAAATCCACTCAAAATTAGAATAGCCAATCGTGTCGATTCGGCATTTGATTTGACGGGTCCATAATACCTTGTATATATATATTTCAAAAGTACGAGGTGGCGAAACCATAAACTCAAATTTTATCAGACTTTTCCGACGACCAATGAAATCAAAGAAATTTGTAGCATGAGCCAATCATATGGCGTAAAAGTGCTTGGGGTTTCGGGGTTTGAACTATATTTCAATATCTCGTGTTTTGGACCAGAAGTGGTGACAATATGACACTGTTATTGTTGTGTGTACGGACACTAATGACTCATCGACACAACCAAATAAATAGAAGAATCCTTGGCAGAAAAAGGAAGTAGCCAATCAGATGGCAGGAAACCATCATCTACATCGAATAATAATGTGAGACTTCAATTAGTGTGATACCAATCTCCATTGGACAACGTTCAAAGACTCATCGATACAGTATATTTGGCGAATCAGCAAAGTCCCCCACAATCATTTTCCTAATATAAACGCTACTGGTTGGTTTACTAGATACAATCAGAGTGTGTGTGTCATGTGCCCAGCAGTTTGGCTCGGATGGCGTCATGATCTAGTTCCTTCCGCTTTCGGGGTTTCGGGGTTTCGGGGTTTCGGGGGGTACGATGTATCGCGTCCATGTGTCTTCGCATCACGTGCTTGTAATGGAAGGAGCGATGGCACAACTCGCATGAGTATGTGGAGGTGGTGGTGGTGGTTGGGTGGGCCACGCGGCGGTGCTTATTGAGATTGGCGCGGGTGGAGTACTCATTTCCGCAGTCTGGACATGCAACTGACTTGGGCGGGTGGCCATGTACTGCCTGAATATGCGACTGCAGAGTCTTATTCGAGGCAAAGAACTGATGGCATATTGGGCACTCTACTGGTACTTGTTCCACCAGTAACCTTCCCTTGACATCATTCCCAAACTCCATAAGCACCGCGGGCGTGTGGAACCGCCGAGTGTGCGCGTCCAGCTGGAACTTTTTAAGAAACGCCGCGTCGCAATGAGCGCATGGGAATGGCGCGTCGCCAGTGTGGACGTACGAGTGCTGCTGAAGGAGACTCTTCTTCTTGAACGTTTGCTGGCATGTGGCGCACATGTACGCGGCGTTGGACGCGTCGTGCTTGTCCTTCATGTGGCGAGTGAGGCCGTGCTTGTATTTGAAGTCTTGGTGGCACAAGGCGCATGTGAACGGCGTGGACTGGGCGGCGGCGGCGGCCGGACTCGACGGATGCTCCATCTTCATGTGCCGCGTCAAGTGATCTTTCCGCGTGTACATCTTCTCGCACCCCTCGACATCGCACATGAAGGACTTCCCCTGGTGACTCAGCTCATGCTGTCGCAGATGCGATGGCTTGGTGAACACACTGCCGCACTCCATGCACATGTGCATCTTGACCATGCCGGGCTTGTCCAGGAATGTGAGAGCGCCGTCGTCGTCGTCGTCTAGCATCATCGCTTGGGAGTCTCCCTTCATCCCATGGAGACACATAATCTTCCCATGCATTTCCGGGCCCCCTCCGTCGGCAGCCATGTCGTTCGCTTCAATGCGCCAGTGCCCCATCAACTCGATTGGTGTTTCGCGCCACTTGGTCAGGTAAGCTTTTGTTTCCGGATAATACTTATACCATCCGGAAAACCCCCTTGCTGAAATTCATACTATTAATAACAGCTGTAAGTTAACGTTAACGTTATTAATAGTACTACTATTAATAGTTCTGCAATAATCGGACTGTTCAGAGCATCTCCACCGCGCCAAGTAAATTGGCCAATCGGTAAATCTGTGTGCTGATTTACTGAAAATTTCCTGAAATATTTCGCACCGCACCAGTATCCGGTTCAGTACTTTGCTGACCAGCAAATATTCCAGTAAAAGTCACACAGATTTGATGGACTTGTACTGGATTTGCTGGAGTCAGTATCCGGTTATAGTGGCCGGGGCCCTGCAGTTCAGGCGGCCCTGGCACGGTATGTATGCCGCAGTCAATAACTTATGACTTGTGGTGATGACTCTTACAGCGTAGGTCAGTTGCAGCCGGTTGCTTGTTTGCGTCGGTCCCGGGCCATATCCTGTCGTGATTGGCGGTGTCTGTCTTGTGCCAGTCGAACTTGCATGGCTTGCCGTGTTGGACAGAGACGTGTGGCAGTCGGTGGGTATGTCTTCACGACCGGTAGCCGCGTTATTAATGTTGCAGGACCCATGCCATCGACTACAACTTGACTGGACCTGTGCCATTGACCGCTGCATTACCAAGGTCAATAGTCTGGATCCTATCAAGAGGCCTATTATGTCTGTAATCAGCGTACTCCGTTTACTAGTTAACGAGAAACTACAGTAGATGCCTTTCCTGGTGATAAGGATTACTTTGTACAGATGCATGCATATTGCGCATCATTGCGTGCCATTCCTGGTGATAAGCATACCTCATTGTCGTAATTAACGCAGGTTTCACCTCAGGAGATAGCTGCTTGGTCGAATGATGGTGAATTTTTTGGCTGGAGTTGGGCTTTATGCCGTGCGAATTATCCTGAATTATCAGTCCATTACAATATTAGAGGTTGTTATCCGAACAGTATGCTGATATTGGTGTGTCGATTTACTAAAAATGACCTCATATCTGGATAACTTGTTCGGATACGAGAGTTGCTGGCGCCATTAACAAATGGCAAAGTTTCGCACCGCAGTCAGTAAAACAACTTACACTTGCTTCGTGGTGGATCGACTCTCCAGTGCATGTAGAGACCATCACCTGTTCTATAGTATAGGAAATTTTACTATTGTTCTCATAGCTTGTCATTCACAATACCGCTGTGTGTACTTGTATGCGGGAGTACAGTTGTAAGCTGCAGCTACTCGGCGTAGAAGAAACGACTTGCAGTGTGTCGTTTCCAACGATTGCATCGAGCGAGGCACTCAGCCATGCGTGACAAAGCTGCACCTGCTCATGTGGTGTGAAGTTTTGGGAGCGTTCCTTCATTGCCAGTTTTGCTGATAAAGATATTATAGTCTTATGCATGTATAGTAAGTACCAGTAGCGTTTATTTGCATTTATCAGCTTATAGAGAAACTTTTGCGCCAACGGCTAGCGGATATCACATACGCCGAATGTAGCAATATGACAGGTGGGGTAACGCCTTACCACCACCTTGCCCGCACCCAGATCCTAGATGCATGGCTCATGACGCACCCTAGCTAATACTTGCCTTGAATGTGTCTCAAGGACATGTATGGCTTTGAATCGCTACCTAGTGAAGTCCTCCAATGTCTCAACGGCACCCGCATCCATTGTATACCAAAGTGCATATTAGTGTAGACGTAGTGAAGTAGGCTAAGCAGATTTCATAGAGATGAGGACTAAGGAGATCTTAGTAGATCCTCAGTTAATTTATTGTGCATTTTGCCCTCAAGTAACTGCGCTTCCTTCCGCAGTGGTACAATTGGTAGCACTTCCTGGTTCCCTCGCCCCAAGATCCGTTAACCCGCCGTACATAGCCAGTCTTCTTAGACGGTTGTGTGGTCGTTTGCAGAGACAGCACATCGCTAAAGGTTTTGAAAACGTGGTATTTGCTACCCGTTACCTGGTGATAGTTTCAGCAATAAAATCCTTACAAGTTCGGAGGGATCTGCTAGTGTATGCCCCGTAGCAAGACCCGCAAGCCCCAACTCGCGGCCACGAAAGACATCGGCCAATTATTCGACTATCCGGATATGCCGGTTAAGCTACGCCAAGTCCTTTGCGTGTTGACCCGTCACCAACGCGTGGTTATCAAGAAGTATTATGGACGAAAGTATGAGCCTATACATCCACCAAGTTACGACATTTTTCAAGGCAAAGAACGTGTATTATCAAGAAAACGATGGGACTCAACAGCGATGAATTGCCATGATGGTAGCAAATTTCCGTGGTCTTGCCGCAGCCTGGTACCAAGAACGGCTTTCGCGTGGTGAGTCTCCAAATACCCTCATTGAACTGGAAGAAGAGCTGCGAGACGAGTTTGAACCCGACAATTTACAAGATCCGCTGCGTGATCAGCAATACGAATTGAAGCAAGCCCATTGTGCGAGCTTGACCGAGTATGTTGCCAAGTTCCGACGAGTCTGTACGCAAGTGTGCGACATGAACGAGCGCAACAAGGTGTCCTACATCCAACGCGTTCTGCGAACCAGAACCCGTGAGGAGTTGCAGTATCGTCCTTCCGAGACTGTGACTCTCGTGATGCAAGTTGCCCTGGACTGTGAGCGCTCTCACAACTCGACCCTTAATGGTGGTCACGCCAGAGACCGCGACCGCTTTCATCCCCACTATCGCCGCCATCAATTCAACAACCGACACCAAGAAAGTCGCCCACCGCATGCGTATCCTCCACGCCAGCGCCAAGATGACGACATGGAAGTAGACAACGCCCAAGTACAACACCGTGGACAACGCCAAGTAGGCCCCTGTTACAACTGCGGACGCATGGGCCACAGAATCAGTGACTGCCGCTCTCCACCCCGGAACAATCAAGGAAGAAGCCAAGCTCAACCCCAGCGCAACAACATCTCAAGACATGCCAACCGGCCTCAGCGACCCCAGCGTAATACACCAAGTCGTCAGCACAATGCTCAAGTAACCGAAGTCAACAGCGACACAGAAGACAGCGAAGATGACGTAGAAGAAGTGATCCTAGGCAACAACATGGGCCTAGCCCAGCAAGACTCCGCGGAGGAGGAGTCGCTTAACATCAATACCGCCCAGCAAGCAGTGTCAGCGCAAGAAAACAAGTTGATGATAGTTCACGGCGCACTCGACAGCACAAGCGTTCGCATCCTGATCGACTCTGGTGCCTCGAACTTGCTTTGTCGCCCAGGTTTGGCCACGACAGTGATCCGTTCCAAGGAAGTTCACGGAACGCGGAAGGCTTCGATCAATACTGCACTGGCATCAAGATAGTGAAGGAAGTATCTGGCACACTTTGCTTTGGTCAATGGACGTTCCCAGATCTTATACTTACCGAGTGGGATCTCGGGAAGAAGGACTTTGACGTCATATTGGGAAAACCATGGTTCTTTCGTTGCAACCCTGTCATCGACTGGCGTACCCACCAAATCCTCAACGTCAACTCAAGTGAAGTCGATCCTGAACGAATCGAAGGATGGATGATCAAAGTCACGACGAAAACGGAACCTCAGCAGAAATTACACCGCTCGTGGCCAGGGTGGTGAATGAATTTCGTGACGTGTTTCCCGACAAGTTACCCAACACGTTACCACCGCCGCGTGGGATT